CTCTTTTCCTTCATTGTGTGCACTAAATCCTGAGAGTGCTAGACTCCCCAGATCTACTCAGAAGGTAGACTACTGTGTTTTAGACAAATTCTTCCTTATCACAGACATTGGCTGTCACAATGTCACTCAAAGACACTACAATTCCAGGCCCTCCCTGGGGAGTCTCTTTGTATTCCGCACTGGAGACCATTCAGAACCATCATGCCCAATGTGCAGGGTGTGCAGGTCATAACACTGTTCTGTCTTTCCTCTTTTGCTTGCCTTTTCTTCCTGTCTCCCTCTGAGTAGACCACGAGAGCTATGGAATATTGATTTTTCATTCCCTCCACCTCATCATCTCCTTCATGTCCCCGGGGCGCCTTCCTGCTCTGATTTCTCAGCACACAGAGTGCTAGCAGCTATACAGGGAACTTGTGAGTTACACTGGTTCTCTGGCTATTTTGGACTTCTCTGTTCTATGTATATGCCACACAGATAGAGAGACACACAAGAACACACAGACATACACACAAACACACATGCACACACAGAAACATAAACATAGTTATACACCACACAGAGAGAAACAGAAATATATGTGCAACACAGAGATACAGACACACTTGCACACGCACAAATACACAAACACATACAACTTCAATAAACCTTCACTGCCTCTTGGAAGAAGTCCCAGGCAGAAAAGAGCTGTCATACCCAGTTATGTTCTGTGCTTTCTACTTTAATCCACTACCCTACAGTGAGATTCAACTGTTTTCCAACTAGTAATTCTGGACAGAAATTTTAATAGGAATGATTTAACACATAAAACATTTGTTGTGTAGTACTCATATTTGTGATTGATTTTTAGAATGGTACTTAGTGTGTGTGTGTGTGTGTGCGTGTGTGTGCGTGTGTGCGTGCGCGTGCATTTGCAGAGGTCAGGGAAAAGCCTCAACTATTGTTCCTCAGGCACTATCTACAATCTTTTCTCATGAGACAGGATCTCTCCTTGGTCAGGAACTCACCAAGCAGCTAGGCTTCCTGGCTAGTAAGCCCCAGGGATCCTCCCATCTCCACCTTTCCAGGGCTGGGATCATAAGTGTGTGTTGCCACATCCAGCTTTTTATATATGTTATAAAAAATGAAATAAAAATACTTTTAAGAAAGAGGTTCTTGGGGTTGAACCAAAGTTCTTTTTTATTTTTTAAAAATAAATTATAATTATAATTTAATTTAATTTTTTATTTATTTTATGTGTATGAATGTTTTATGTATGTATGTATGTATGTATGCATGTGTGTATGCATTGCACCACACGCAGGCTTATACCTGAAGAAGGTGTTGGAGTGAGGGGCTTCCTACACGGGTAGATTCTCAGGGAATGAGATTTTGCTTCAACCTTTGAAGTATAGCTCTCTCCATAATGCCTTTCTGGCCCACTCCTACCTGCTGAATCCCTTGTGGTTAGGAAGAGCTGAACATGTAATACAAATCTCTCCAGGTTTCACGTCTAAGGGAATGTGTTAAGCAGCATATGTTCCATTGCTAAGTAGCTAATTCCGTTTATTTTAAATTCAAATCAAAGTGTGCTCCAGAGGTTAGCTTTGCAGATAAGGGTGTAGACAAAATTTTGCTATGATCAACCTACAGCCAGAACTGTAAAAACACGAAGGCAACCTGCTCTACGCAGGGAGTCTGCTTAGCGGAAACCCAGGAAGAGAGGAAGCATGTGCCAGGAAGAGTGTGGCCACAATGACTGGGCCCAGTGCTGCCTGCGGACACCGGGTTGTTGCTCAGAATCAAGTCCTGAGTGGAAGCACTCGGTGGCTGTGTCTGAGAAGGGATCTCATGTATTCCACACTGGCCTCCAACTTGCCATGCAGCCAAGGGTGATCTTGAATTTATGAGCTTTCTAACCTCTACCTCCTGAGTGTTAGGATGACAGGCATGTACCACCATACCCAGATTTAGGTTGTGCTGAGAGTTGAACCCATTGCTTGGTACATATTAGGCAAGCACTCTAGCAACTTAAACACATCCCAACGCTATACCCAGTTGTTATAAAGGATGCACTTTTGTCTCATAAACAGTACTATTAACTGAAGAGTACCTCAAATGGTCTACACGACCACTTGTTAATCCTACTACTATCCCTTAGTCAGAATGGCATAAAATGACTTGACTGAAGTATGGATCTCTGGATCTAACTCAAAAAGAAAAGAAAGATGAATAGCAGAGAGCGATGAAGCTGGTACTATCATCCCCTCTGGTTTCTGTCTAGGGCAAGGTGCTTTCTTCTCTGTGTCATTCCCTCTTGCACACAGAGGCAAGCAGAGCAAGCTTAGAGCTCAGTTCTAGTTCCATGATAGCCCACTTCTAGATTAGAAAACAGCCTGGCTACCGACAGCTAGTTTGGTCACTTAAAAGCATCTCCTGACTTTCTGAGCCCCCTGAATCATTAGATACAAAGAAACTTTAGTGCTGTGAATTTCTCTGCAAGAAAATGTAGTCTGCAGCAGCTGCCTTCAGACTGCATGGCCTTTGCACATTTGGAAGTTTTTGTACCAAGTATGTGTCCACATCTGCTTGGTGTGGGCTGTGTTGAATGTGACAGTCTTGGGGTATATATGGGGAATTAGTGATCAGGAGGCTATTTTAGGATGAATAGGGATGTTCAGCATGGTAACATTTGAGCTATAGAAAGCAGAATAGTTTCAAACCTGTTTTGGGGTCTGTAAAGCCCATTTTCATATGATTATTTTATAAGATAGTCTCAAGGAAGGAAAGGAAAGCAAATGCACGTATTTATTCTGCCTCTGCAATGATTCACCAGTCCCTCAGAGACAACTTAGCTGTCCCTGTCACTTTCCAGCAGAGACACTATTTTAATTCAGGTTATTAACTGACTATTTAGCATATATACTGTGCATTCTGAGTTAAAAGGAAGAAAAAGTAACCTTTGGGACAGCCTTATTCTCAGCCTGCTGGTGCAGACCTATAACGCCAGCTCCTGGAGGGTACTAAAGGCTGATGCAGGAGGATCACAAATTCATGGCCTTGGTAGACTATGGACTGAGTTTAAGGACATACAGGGAGGTTTTATGAGAGCTTATCTCAAAGTGAAAAATAAAAAGAAAGCAGGGATGTTATAATTCAGTTATTGGAACATTTATATAGCAGGTGGAAGGCCCTGAGTTCATCTCCTAGCACCACATAAAGAAGCAGTTAAACACATGACCAGGCTCATGTGTAATCATCACTTCTTTCTCCTTATGAGGACTGACTCAGAAGTGACAGGATTTAAAGAGAACATTAGAGAAAGTTCTAACTCGAAGCTTATAGGTGAAGACTAGACTCCATTAGCAAAGTCTAAAAATTTGCTGTTATCAGCATCTTCCCTCTCTTAATTTATTCTCTCTAATTACAATAGCCCATCTTTAATTTATTTCTTTTTTGTCAACAATGTTTATTTCAGAAGTGATGCCTCATGGGCCTAGAGAGATGGATCGGCAGTTAAGAGCACTTGCTCTTTCAGAGACCTGGTTCCCAGCATCCATACTGGGCAGCTCACAGCAACCTGTAACTCTAGCTCAGAGGATGTGATGCCCTCTTCTTCTGGCTTTCTGGGCGCCCTTAGACATGGATGTGTGCACGCACACATGCATACCCACACACAAATAAATATAAATTTTTAGAAAGAAATCTCCTGGTTGTTGACCATCCAGGTAGAACAGCAAAAATCCCAGTCTCTTTGCTTATACAGGCACTAGCCACAACCAACACAATCCCTTGCAAGCACACATATCCTAGTCCCATAAGTATTTACAGTAGTAAAACCTGTATTCTTATCATGAAACAATTTTATCTGAACCAGTAATAATTTGTATCTCTATAAAGCTGCAAGCCAGTGAAAGAAATTTTTATGCAATTTAGAGAAAGATTTATTTGGTTTGTTTTTTGAGCCTGGGTCTCACCCTGCAACCTAGGCTGGCTTTGAACTCAGTGGTAATCTTTATATCTCTGCCTCTCATAGGCATTGGCCACCACACCTAAATTGAGAAAGATGCATTTTCTCTAACACAACACATAACCAACTATTTCAGTGTGGGGATATTATCTAAAAGTGAATACGTTTCTTCCTTTTTATCTTTTTTCCTTTTTAAAAAATTGTTTTATTTATTACAATTTATTTCACTTTGCATCCCAGCTGTGTCGCTCTCCCTTGTCCCCTCCCAATCCCACTTTCTTTCTCTCTCCTCCAACCATGCCCCACCCCAAGTCCACTGATAGGAGAGGTCCTCCTCCCCTTCCATCTGACCCTAGCCTATCAGGTCTCATCAGGACTGTCTGCATTGTCATCCTCTGGGGCCTGGTAAGGCTGCTCCCCTCTCAGGTAAAGGTGATCAAAGAGCAGGCCACTGATTTCATTTCAGAGACAGTCCCTGTTCCCATTACTAGGGAACCCACTTGGACCCTGAAGTGCCATGGGCTACATCTGTGCAGGGGTTCTAGGTTATCTCCATGAATGGTCCTTGGTTGGAGTATCAGTCTCAGAAAAGACCCCTGTTCTGTTACTCTTTTTATGGCACTCCAGTCCCCTCCAGGTGTTTCTATCACCCTCTTCTTTCATGAGATTCCCTGAGTAAGATGATCAATATGTTTCTTCTTACAGGAGCTTGTTCATGCAAACCTCCATACCTTACCGGCCAGAGAGGCCTTAATGCACATAGACCATTTAGAAAGTATGTGAAAAACCTTTAAAGCTCTTGGATCACATGTTCATAAGTTCATTGCCTGATTCCAGGCCTCAGTTTTAAGCCTCAAGAGTAGGTAGCAGCTTTATTCACATTGCTCACACAATGAGCATTTTGAGTTTGGACTGAAAAGAAAAAGAAAGAAAGAACCCACAGACCTAAGCTCTTCTCAAAATACAGCAGTGCATGGATGTTCCAGGCACAGATTTCTGAAAGACCCATAGCTAATGAGGTTATAACTCTGCTGTGTCTTGCTCTTCATTTAAGGCATAACTCAATTCGAAGACAACTCAACCTGTCCAACCCGGACTTTAATATCCAACAGCTTCAGAGGCAGGAGCAGTTGACGGGGATTGGTAGAATTAAACCCGAGTTGTATAAGCAGAGGTCACTGGACAATGATGATGGGAGAAGGAGTAACAGCAAAGCCTGCGGGAAACTGAACTTTATTTTAAAATATGACTGCGACTTGGAACAGCTCATCGTGAAGATCCACAAAGCTGTCAATTTACCTGCCAAGGACTTCTCTGGGACTTCAGATCCTTATGTCAAGATCTACTTGCTTCCTGACAGGAAAACAAAACACCAGACTAAAGTTCATAGGAAGACCCTGAACCCTGTATTCGATGAGGTGTTTTTATTTCCTGTTCCCTACAATGACCTTGAAGCTCGGAAGCTTCACTTCTCTGTGTATGACTTTGACAGGTTCTCTCGCCATGACTTGATTGGTCAGGTGGTGGTGGACCACTTCTTCGACTTGGCTGATTTCCCCAGGGAGTGCATCCTTTGGAAGGATATCGAGTATGTCACCAACGTGAGTCTAGCATTCCTTCATTTGGATTGGGGGTGGGGAGGATGATTCTTAGTTTGCACAAAAACGGACTGTTTCCACATTATGTTTATTGGGATCAAACTTTAAAATTCACGTTGATATACTTCTGTGTTAGAAGCTCTTTGTATCTTTGGAGGGATGGGTTTTTAACAACATTGACCTTGATGTATACAAGAATAATTTGCTAAAACTATTAAGGAATCCCTTTTTCACCTTTGCTCTTTCTTAGCTGTTCTCTATCAGTCCTTACACTATTTTCATAAGAGCCGTCTCAGGTAGTACTAACTGGGTCCTGGCATCCCGTTCACTGTATTCTACAGCTGAAAGTCTACTGCCTGACAACACCAAGTCCTTGCATGGCCTTTCCCACTGTCTCAGTAGTGCTTGAAGGATCAGCTCCTTTTAACATTGAGCATGGGAGTGGCTGAGGAGAATGAGCATCATAACTCCAATTGTAAAAGTCATAAATTAGAATTAAGGAAGTCAGTCTGAAAAGATGGCAAAACTGATCCACAGAAGGTAAAATCTCACTTCCAACTTAGAAGAGGCAGAAATCCTATGTAGCCATGTTTACATTTCAAACATGGGATCCCATGAGATGCTTTTACTACATTTACAATCTGGTAATGTAGTCACTCCCTGCCAAGCCATACTAAAGTTCCAGACTGAGGAAAACTAGCCTTTCATTTTATTTGTATTATTATTATTAGTTACAGTTTTTATTAACTCTGTATCCCAGCTATATCCTGCTCCCTCATTCCCTCCTAATCCCACCCTCCCTCCCTCAGATCCTCTCTGCCCCTTTACAAGTCCACTGATAGGGGAGGACCTCCTCCCCTTTCACCTGACCCTGGTTTTTCAGGTATCTTCAGGACTGGCTGCAAAGTCCTCCTTTGCAGCTTAGCAGGGCTGCTCCCCCCTTGGGGGATAAGGAGGTCAAAGAGCCTACCATTGAGTCCCTGCTCCCCTTACTAGGGAAACCCATCATGGGCTACATCCAAGCAGAGGTTCTAGGTTATATCCATACATGATCCTTGCTTGGAGAAACAGTCTCATATAAGACCCCTGTGCCCAGATATATTTGGTCCTTGTGGAGCTCCTGTCCTCTCCAGGTCTTACTAACTCCCTCTTCTTTCATATGATTCCCTGCACTCTGCCCAAGGTTTGGTTATGAGTCTTAGTATCTGCTTTGATACACTGCTAGGTAGAGTCTTTCAGAGGCCCTCTGTGGTAGGCTCCTGTCCTGTTACTTGTTTTTTCCTACTTCCAGTGCCCATCCCATTTGTCTTTCTAAGTGAGGATTGATCATCTTACCCCGGGTCTTCTTTCTTGTTTATCTTCTTTAGGTGTATAGATTTCATTATGTTTATCATATCTTATAGGTCTATATAAGTGAGTATATTCCATGTGTGTCTTTCTCCTTCTGGGATACCACACTCAGAATGATCTTTTCTAGATCCCACTATTTGCCTGCAAATTTCATGATTTCCTTGTTTTTAATTGCTGAGTAGTATTCCATTGTGTAGAAGTACCACAATTTCTGTATCCATTCCTCTGTTGAGGGACATTTGGGCTGTTTCCAGGTTCTGGTTATTACAAATAAAGCTGCTACAAACATGGTTGAGCAAATGTCCTTGTTGTGTACTTGAGCAACTTTTGGATATATGCCTACAGGTAGTATAGCTGGGTCTTGAGAAAGCGCTATTCCTAGTTGTCTGAGAAAGTGCCAGATTGATTTCCAAAGTGGTTGTACTAGAAAACTAGACTTTCTTGGGGCCACTGATGTTTTCAAGCTGCATATTTCTTTCTCCTGATCAGATTTCCCGAGGTGTTTAGTGCATTTTCTTGAAGCCAGCTTTGCCCTCTTCACCTTGGCATCCAGAGGGACCACGTGTCACTATCTTTGTCTAGCTCCAGCACTGATCCAAACTGACTGAGCCATGGGTGAGTCAAAGACTCCTCTACTCAAGAAAAGGACCCCAAAATCTCTACCCGAGGACCAAATATCCCCGATGGTGTTCTTCAGTCTGACATGTTTATGACCTGGGGACTTCCTCACACCTAACTACCTGCGCCAGATTTGTCATGCTCTTCAGTTAGAAGTGTGGCCAAGGTCGTGGTGGCCTCCTTCACTTCTCAAAGGAGGAGGTGGTGTAGAGGATAGCAGTTGATAGAACTAGTGCATGAACCCACCAGCTGAGGAAAACAACACACTAGTACCCTTGGTGTTCTGCACCTATAGTCCCTGGCACTGTCCTGAGCTTTACTTGAATTGTGACACGTGTGTGTGTGTGTGTGTGTGTGTGTGTGTGCATGTGTTGAAGTTTTATTCCTGTTTTTCACAGCTCTTCCTTGACTGACCTTTATTCACACTCAACGTGAATTATAACAGTTAACAAGAGAGAATGCAGTGGTTGTGGTCTGTGTATTTTTATTGTTTACAATATTTCATTGTTGTAACATATGACAAGTTAGCATTCTTTCTGGAATGATTTGTTTTTATTTTTATTGTGTTTTGTTTGTATGTATGTCTATGTCTGGTACCTTTGGAGGCCAGAAGAGGGCATAAGATCCTGTGGAATAGCAGTTGCAGGCAGTTGAGAGCCACCATGTGGGTGTTGGGGACTGAACCTGGAGTGGGGTGTCTGTAAGAGCAGTTAAGTGTTTTAACCATAGAGTCGTTGTTTTATTTTTACACTGATGACATTCAGGTTATTAATTTGTTTATGATTCTGATTAGCATAACAAAATACTTTTATGTCCTCCCATTGGCTCTCAGGCAGCACAGTTTTTGACACAGGTGTTTAACATTCCCAAGTGTTTACAAGGCCATTTCCACAGTGGCTCCTCAGAGAGATTACCCCATTGGTACTCCATTAGCTTACCAGCTCTTGCTCTCCTTAGTCTGGGAAATGTGTCCATGTGAAGCACCATAAGACTGCGTTTTTCTTGGCTGCCAAGGTTGACCATCTTTTTATGCGTTTGTCATTCTAGCTTCCTTCCTTATGCAGTGCTGTTCAGTGCAGCCATCGGCCGTTTGCTCTTCCATTTTGAGCTAAGTTGTTCTTACAGTCTGTATGTACTATGTTATATGCATTATAGTCATTTGTCAGTTCATGGGAGTGTGTGTATTAACTCTATGGTGACATAGTTTTATAATTTTTATTTATTTGTGTGTGGAAGGGTGAATGGGTATGTCCATGTGCCAAGTATGGGGGTCAGAGGACAACTTGAGGAAGTTGGTTCTAACTTTGCACCTTGTTGGGGCAGGCTCTCTTCTGCTTTTGCTACTGTGCTTCATGTTCTAGGCTAGCTTGCCCTTGAGCTATTGGGTAATTCTGTGCCTGTTTCCCATCTCACAGTAGGAGTGTGATGCATGCCACCATCCAGCTTCTGGGGGTGGGGCTCAGGCCTTCAGGCTGTGCAGCTCATCCCTTGCCATACTGAACTACCTTTCCAGACTCCGCGGTGACTTTTGATAGACATTCTTCTGTCTATTCTCATGAAATATATCAATGTTTACCATTGTAAAGTAGCATGGTTGTGTCCACTGATAGGGGAGGTTCTCCTCTCCTTTCTGATCTTAGTCTATCAGTTCTCATCAAAATTGGCTGCATTGTCCTCTACTGTGGCCTGGTAGGGCTGCTCCCCCCTCAGGGGGAGGTGATCAAAGAGCAGGCCAATCAGATTATGTCAGAGGCAGTCCCTCTTCCCATTACAATGGAACCCACTTGGACACTGAACTGCCATGGGCTACATCTGTGCAGGTGTTCTAGGTTATCTCCACGAATAGTCCTTGGTTGGAGTATGAGTCTCTGGGAAGTTCCCTGTGTTCAAATTATCTTGTTCTGTTGCT